CACAGTGGATACCAGGAGAGAACGTCAGAAGGCCAGGGCCCTTGCTCCACCCACTGATTCCACTTATGTTTGTGGTTCTTGTCACCGCATCTGCCGATCACGAATCGGACTCCAAAGCCATCTCAGAAAATGTTTAAGGAAATGTACAATTAGTAACACACGCTAAAATTATGGACTAGATTGTCCGATAATGCCAATACAATACAGTCCTTTCAAGAAACCCGTTTGGTCATTGTCTACTAAATTTTGCAAAACAACCTTGAGACGTGAAGCAATCGCCTTGGATGCAATTTTGTAGTCATAGTTGAATAAAGTTCTGGGTTGTAGTGTCGGGACTAATTCCGCACGTGTGGCATGTATCAGGAACCAATCAAGTAATATCAATTGTTTTCGGTATTTATATAAGCAGCCGTAATGTATGCTTAGTGTGTGTGAAAACCAAGAGACGCAACGGTCGATTCGTGTATATTAAGCAAGAGTTATTTTATTTACCGCGACTCTACATGGGTCTCCAGTTTTTCAGTTCTTCTTTGGGTTAAAGCAAGCTTACTCTTCTGATGGCTTTTGTTAAGACAACGTATAAGAAAAGGAGAGACATCCTTTCAAAAAACTTTATAAAATTCGTCCGTTTCAGGCGATTTACCGGGTTCCATTGATTTTAATGCCTCTAAGCATTCTTTTTCAGTCAATAGTCCGTCGCATTTTTGCTTATCAATATCATTAAGTGAAGGGTGTTCCTAGCCGTGAAACAAGTTGTCAGAACATTATGTCTCCGTGGGATTTTTTGAAGCGTAAAGCCGACTATAAAAAGAATTGCATTCTTTCAAAATATCTGGGTCGTTTGTAGCATATGAACCGTTGCTCGTCTTAAATCTGCGTTGTTGTTTTCCTCTGACAATGTCTATTTTCTAAATTCACGAAATATTTGCTAATTTTTTTTCACCTTCGTTGTACCATCTGGCCTTAGATCTAATTATGGCCTCTTTTGTTTTGTACTGTATAATATTTTCCAATTCGTTTTTCTTGCACCTTATTTGTTCCTCTAGGACATCTTTATTACTTACGCCCTGTTCCAATTGCCCTTCAAGAGCGGCTAGAGCACTTTCACTGAATATTGGCCTCTAATTTTAAGTTTCATCGTTTCCCACAGTAATACTTCATCGACTTCTTCATCGTTTTCGTACTCACTGGCTGTTTCGGCTATTGTTGACTTGATAGTGTTTACGTAATCAACTTCACTCAAAAGTGCGGAATTTAATTTCGAGAAACCGGGTCCTCTGGAATTGGAATGGTAATTGTTGTCAATTTTACATAAAGAGTGGCGTGTTTTGTAGGCCGGAAGAATATCAGCATTTGAAATTCTTCCAGCGATAGGCTTTTGTACATTATGCTAGCATTTTTTCCAGCATTTTAGTGAGGCAAAAGCATTAAGCAATATTCGAGCATTTTAGTGGCATTTTCCCTGAAATTTTTTTTTTCATACAGAAAAAAGAAATAAAAATTGTTTTTTACGAGAAAATGAGGACTTGAAAAAGTGAGATTGAAAAAATTTTAAATGCCACCAGGAGCCATAATCGGGGACGGAGACCGTAAGTCTCGGGATTCGCGCGCACCTATGATATGGGACAATTTTTCTATTTTTAGAACAAATTGCGC